CCCCTCACCCTCTCGCTCTCTCAGGCTCCCTCCCCCGCCTTTCTCACACCCTCCTTCGTCGTCTCTCCCACCCTCCCCCTATTCTACCCTCCTACCATATATTTAAAATTTATCGGTTTAATACATTTATTGATTTAGCACTATTATTAATTTAATACATTTATTTAATCGTTCTTTCATACACTCACTTTTTTACGAGGGTTAACATGTGTTGATTTTGAATATTTTAAAGGCCAGCACATTCGAAAACGTAAAATATGATACGTGCGTGAGATAATCAAATTGGACATACAAGTGGTCCATCTCGTACTATAATTATGTGATGAGAGAAAATACTAAATTGATAGTCAATTATTTACGTTTTGATTATCGGGTCATGGAAATCGCGTCTGCGATTCCGGCCCTGATTTTTCTTTGGATTGCGATATTTAACATGCGATTAGGCAATACCCACGAACGAATCATTTTAAACATTTCTTTCCACTGTCAAATTGATAACGTTGTAGCAAGACTGAATTTCGAATAACTTTTTTTGCACGTAAAAACTTGTTATTCATACGATTTTAATTTCTTCATTACTCTTTAGTGGATTGCAAATTATATCCATAGGCAGGACACTGGACACTGGAGGAAGTTACATACACAGATACGAAAATTTACACAGTTGCTTCATATTATGTACAAAATATCATACGCAATTTGAGCAATAAAAATGTGTACATTTATTAGAAATTCAACAACTTGTACAAGAGGAAGATATTCCATATGTACCTTTCGTACCTTCTGATATTCCTGAGCGATCTGGGTCAGAATGTTTGATCGATGTCCTTAACTGCTCTCGATGTCAGATTAGGATGAGGATTTTCTGAAGAGGTAGTTTCTTTCAGTGTACTACTTTTCTCATTATTTGCTGTCTCAATGTGAGTAACACTAATGTATTTTGTTGGTCAAATCGCATTTCCGTATGTATTAACAACACAGTTCTGGTAGCCACACGCCATATAACTAGCACTATAATTGCAAATATCGACGTGGCATTATTTATATGGGATAGAACTTTTCTTTTTTACAAATGGGGAAAGTAGTTTCTGTTCAAGAATAATTAATAGTTTTCAAAAACACTAACGACCTTTCATTTTTCCTTGGAACAGACAATCTATTTTTCCATTTCCAGTCCGCTCTCATACCACCCAATTACAGCACTTTCAGAGCGTGGGATTGTTGTGAACTGAATTGCGGTACAACAACACTTTCTCGGCATCGGAACCCTGATACTGTATCTCTTCTTGTTTAGTCCGTCCGCGCGTTGTTCTGTTGAGTGGATGCTTAATGGCGGAAAGTTCGGCTGTTTCTTGTATCTAAGACGAAGTATCTCCGACGTGATCGCGGAGTCCGAGGCGTGAGAAAAAACAAAAAAACAACAGATTAATTGGGGTCTTCGCGGGCCGCGGGCGGGGAAGTTGCACGGGTGCGGGCGCGCGCGCGCGCGCGGGAGAGAGAGAGAG